TGCTGCTGCCGTCGGCCTGCTATTCTTGCTGCTGCTGTTGCTGCTGCTGCTGGAGCCTTTACCCGTAGCTCCCGCCTTCGCCGACCCCGTTGCCGCTTCACTCACTGCCGCTACCGCTGCTGCTGCCGCTGCTGCTGCTGCTGCTGCTGCTGCTGCTGCTGCTGCAGGCAAGGTGACATTTGGGCACCACTCTGCTTCGGGCCACCGCACTTACAACGAAGACAGGGTTTTCGGCAGCGCCGATTTGGGAGCTGCTTTGGGGCTGCAGGCGGGCCAGCCGGTGGGCCCCAAACCCTAAACCCTAAACCCTAAACCCTAGCACTGATGTCCCTAAGTACTAGCGCTGGGAACCCTGAATCGTAGCGCTGCAGGCGCTAAACCCTAGCGCTGAAAACCCGAAACCCAAAACCCTAGCGCTAAAGGCACTAAGACCATAGGGCTGCAAACCCTAAACCCTAGCCCTGAAAGCCTTAGACCCTAACGCTGCAAACCCTTAACCCTAGCGGCCCCAAACCCTAAACCCTAGCGCCGCAAACCCCGAAGTGGAATTCTCAGCTTTACGGCTTGCAGCAATCTGAGACGAGGCATCAGGCGTGCTTCATATGCTGTAAAAGCTGCTGCTGCTGCTGCTGCTGCTGCTTTTGCTGCAGTCTATGTTTTTTGCTGTCTATGATGGGCACAACGGAGAGGCTGCGGTGGATTTTGTACAGAAGAATTTGCCGCTGAACATCTGCAGGGAGCCGCACTACCTCACGAATGGTCTGCTGCTGCTGCTGCTGCTGCTGCTGCTGTTTCGGGGCTGTCGCAAGTATAGCTGTTGCTGCTGCAGTTGCTGCTGTTGCTGTTTAGCCGGGACTGCCCTTTTGTGTCTGATCGTGCTTGAGTGGTGGCGATTGGTGCTGCAGCTGGAGGCGTTGCTGCTGTTGGTTGCCCTGGCTGCAGCGGCAGTTACAGCAGCAGCATCAGCAGCAGCAGCAGCAGCAAAGTTTCGGCTTGTTGCTTGCATGCAGACATCTGTGGGGCGTTGAAGTGGGGCTTTGCCGAAACGGAGAAGGCGCTGCACCGGATGGTCTTAGACCAAATAAGTGGGGATGGGTTCACTGACACAGAGACTGTGAGTGCTGCTGGTGCTGCAGCAGTTGCTGCTGTTGCTGCAGCAGTTGTTGTTGCAGCTGCTGCTGCTGCTGCTGCTGCTGCTTGCTGCACCCGCTGGAGGCCACCAAGTATTGACGCTTGTGGCGGACGTAGCTTTCGGAGCTGCTGCTGCAGGGCTTGCTGGCGTTGCAGTGGTTGCTGCTGTGGCTGTGGGGTTGCAGCAGCTGCTGCTGCTGCATGCGCTTTCTGAGGGTCGTAGACGTCGAGTTGCTGCTGCTGCTGCTTTTTCTGTTTGTGCTGCAGTCCCCCTTTTCCTCGGGGACCACGGCATGCGTGGCCTTGCTGCAGCATAATGTTCTCTATGTGGCGAATGTGGGGGACAGGTGAGCTGCTGCTGCTGTTGCTGCTGCTGCTGCTGCTGCTGATTCCTCAGCAGCGGCAGGACGCAGTTGCATTTGCGGTGTGTACCCCATCGGGTTGCAGCACCGAATTACCTACAGCAGCAGCATCAGCAGCTGCATCGGCAGCAGCAGTTACAGCACGAGCATCAGCAACAGCAGTAGCAGCAGCAGCAGCAGCAGCAGCAAGATTGTGTGTCCGTGCAGCCGCTGCGTTTTATCTCGAGCTGGGCGGGCGGTGCCGCTGACTGATGACCACCACCTGCGCAGCAACAGGAAGGAGCAGCAGCGAGTCAAAGCAGCAGGAGGCAGCTACGACGATGAGGTGATTCAGCAGCAGCAGCAGCAGCAGCAGCGGCAGCAGCAGACTTTCTCTGCGGGCATTTCGTGCTGCTGCTGCATGCCTTTAGTTGTGTGCTGGGGCCCGCTGTGCCTGCTGGCGCGTACGTTGTTGTGTGTCTTTTGCTTCTGATTTATGAAGTTTCCTGCCTGCATTGCTGCTGCTGCTGTTGCCTTCGTTGCTGCTGCTGCTGCTGCTGCTGCTGGTCCCGTTTCCCATGCGCATCTGGCTGCAGCGCAGCCAGAACCTCATACCTAGGATTGAACAACGCGTGCAGTACTATGTGCAGCACGTCCCCTCATGCTGCTGCTGCTGCTGCTGCTGCTGCAGGGATACCTCAATGGGGTTTTGGCTGTCTCTCGAGCCTTTGGTGGCTTCAGCAAAAAGACCGGCGAGAAGCTGAAAGGCCTCAGCTGCGAGCCCGACCTTTCCGCGCACCACATCCGCAAAGGTCAGGCTGCTGCTGCTGCTGCTGCTGCTGCTGCTGCTGCTGCTGATGCTGATGCTGCTGCTGCTGCTGATGCTGCTGCTGCTGCTACCACTACTGCTGCTGCCGCTGCCGCTGCCGCTGCTGCTGATGCTGATGCTGATGCTGATGCTGTTAATGCGGCTGTTGCTGCTGCTGCTAATGATGATAACGCTGCTGCTGCTGCTGTTAATGCTGCTGCTGCTGATGATGGTAATGCTTATGATAATGCTGCTTTTGCTGATGACGATAATGCTGCTGCTGCTGATGATGGTAATGCTTATGATAATGCTGCTGCTGCTGATGACGATAATGCTGCTGCTGCTGATGATGGTAATGCTTATGATAATGCTGCTGCTGCTGATGACGATAATGCTGCTGCTGCTGATGATGGTAATGCTTATGATAATGCTGCCGCTGCTGATGACGATAATGCTGCTGCTGCTGATAATGCTGCTGATGACAACGCTGCTAATGATGATAATGCTGCTGCTGGGAACGGTGCTGCTGCTGATGCTGCTGCTGCTGCTGCTGCAAAGGCGCGAGATCGTGTGGCTCTGCTTGCTGCAGAAGACGAGTTTTTGCTGCTGGGCTGCGACGGAATCTTCGACGTGTTGTCTTCGCAAGAGTGCATCTCTTTGGTGCGCGCGAAGCTGCGGGCGGGAGTGTCTGCTGCTGCAGCTAGCCAGCAGCTAGCTGAGGTAGCCATGCGGCGGTACTCGCTGGACAACGTTTCTGCTGTTGTAGTTGTGCTGCAGTCGCCAAATGCAGCAGCAGCAGCAGAAGGAGACAAAGAGGGCTGGTGGGCAGAAGAGGGAGACCCGGAGGAGCCTTTTTTGGTGCCCAGACACAGCAGCAGCAGCAGCAGCAGCAGCAGCGCGGGCGACCCCCAGCCGCAGCAGCAGCAGCCGCAGCAGCAGCAGCAAAAACCCGATAGACCCAAGTTCGATTTTTCAATCCTCAAGGCAATGCTGTAGTACGCAGCAGCAGCAACGGCACGAGCAGCAGCTGCTGCTGCTGCTGCACGCACTTCTGCTTCTAGTCCCGCTCCGGCCTCTCCGCGTCAGCTGCAGCAGCAACTGGGCTAGCGTCAGCAGCAACAGTATGATTTGCTTCAGCAGCAGAATGATTTGCTGCAGCAGCAGAAGCAGCACCACCACGCGATTCGCTGCAGCGACAACGTGAGTCACTGCTGCAGCAGCATGATTCGCCGGCGCTGCAGCAGCACGATTTGCTGCAGCATCCGCAAGAATCGCTGCAGCAGCAGCAAGATCCGTTCCAACAGCAGCACGATCCCTTGCAGCAGCAGCAAGATCCGTTGCAGCAGCAGCACTAGTGCGTCTTGCTGCCGTTTTAGAGTGCCTCACTACAGCATGAGTCGCTGCAGCAGCAGCAGGATTCGCTGCAGTTGTAGAGGCAGCAGCACAGCTCTTCCTGGTGCTGCTGCAGCACGAGTCACTGCTGCAGCAAGCGAGTACGCTGCTGAGCTGCAGCAGAAGCAAGGTTTGCTGCTACTGCAGCGCTGTTTGCTGCAGCAGCAGCAAGGCTTGCTGCCGCTGCAGCGTTGTTTGCTGCAGCACGAGCAAGCTTTGCTGCAGCAGCAGCTTGATTTGTTCCAGCAGTAGCAGCTTTTTTAGTGGTGGCTGCTGCTGCTACTGCTGCGTGTACAGACGCTGTAGGGCCACCGTGATGTCAAATCCAGCGGCGGCAGCAGCAGCTGCTGCTGCTGCTGCAGGGGACACAGCAGCAGCAGCAGCAGCAGCAGCAGTGTCCTGCGGTTTAGTTGGTTTTCGCATTTGGGGCAACTCAAGGAGAGTGTAAGGGTTTGTTGTATCTGCTGAAGCAGCAAATGAAAAACAAGAAAAGCAAAAGAGCAGTTTGAAAGAAATGGAGACTTCGAGCCAGTAGATAGCAAACCCCCAACAGGGTTTAGGGTTTAGGGTTTAGGGTTTAGGTTTGGAGTTTAGGGTTTAGGGTTTGGAGTTTAGGGTTGAAGCAACACCGCGAGTTCGGCATCAGTGTGCCGAACGTTTGAGCTTCAGGGATTAGGGTTTAGAAGTAGTGTTTAGGGTTAGGGTTAGGGTTTAGGGTTTAGAGGTTAGGGTTTAGGGTTTAGGGTTTAGCGGCGCTCGTAGCTCCTGGGGAGCAGCTTGAGGTGTCTGTACACCTCAGCTCGCAGCAGCAAAGACATTTGCTGCTGCTGGTAGCAGCAGAAGAAAGCTAAAGGAGAACCAGCAGCAAAAAGCATAAAAGGGGGGCCCCCAGAACAGGGGGGCCCCCGCGGAAAGAGAAGGGGGCCCCCCAAGGGGGCCCCACAGAAAGAGAAGGGGGCCCCCCAAAGGGGCCCCCACTTCTTTCTAGAAGGGGGCCCCCAGTAGAAGAGGGGCCCCTACAGAAGGGCAAGAGGGGCCCCCAAGGAAAGGGGGGCCCCCAGAGGTTCGGAAGAGTGTGGGGCCCCACAGGAATAAAGGGGGCCCCCCAGAAAGGGAGCGGGGCCCCCAGAAGGGGTCCCCCCAGGGGGACCCCCAAAGGCCCTGTGTCTTGCTTGTTGGGGCTTTGCTGCTACCCTCAGCTGCATGCGTGGCTAGCTAGCCAGCTAGCTAACCCAAAGGCCCGTAGCTAGCTAGCTAGCCAGCTAGCCAGCTAGCCGCGCAGAGGCCTCCAGCTAGCCAGCTAGCCACTCAAATGCCGCCAGGTAGCCAAATAGCGAGCTAGCCTCTCCTACTTCTGCCAGCTAGCCACACTAGCTATACGGCAAGGACTAGCTAGCTGGCTAGCCAGTTCGTCTAGCTAGCTATTTGCCTACGCAGCAGCCAGCTAGCGGCTAGCTAGCTGCCTGAGAAGCAGCTAGCTAGCTGGCTAGCGATACCTTTTGG